GGTATACTGACATAATACGGACACAGAAAGATGTGTAATAACTAATAGTGGACCAGCTAGTGTTAGTGGTACTTGTGACTTGTGACAACGTTGACGGAAAACTGGAATATTATATTACGGAATAATAATAATAATTAGTCCGGAATTGTGCATTTCACATTATGTGTACAGTGATTTATGTACACATCGCGAACTAAACAGTACTTATTTATTTATTATCGTTTTTCGATAATGTTAGGTATTATACTATACATCTTCTTTTTAGTTTTTCTTATAATATTCAATTTATTATTTTAAGTAGGTAACATCATTTAGCTATTTTATCCCACGACCCACACTTCCACAGTGTGTATTATAATAATCCATTTATAATAATCCACTTCGCATTAATAATAATTTTAGGTAGGAAATAGGAATGTTAAGGGACTACGATTAGATATTCGATAAATAAATAAAACTATATTTCTTATAACCTACCTAGTACCTATCGTAGGTAAATGGGTAACGAGTGAAATAAGTTTGATTTTTACATTATAATATCATTAATATCTACCATATCATCGTAATAATCAAATAATAATAGGTAATATTGTACATTATTATTTATTATATATATTACACTATAATGTACTTTTATCAGTTTTATAAAGATGCACATAAGTCTTATTATAGTATTATTATTATGATATTTTTGATCTGTTTATCAATTCAATAGTTGGGAAAACCGTATAACGATTAACGGCCATTCCTACCCTACCCGCACGGACGACGAAAGTCGCCGCCGCCGCGCACACACGTCAACACAATACGACAGGCGACAGCGCGTTAGCACGTTTGTACTTACCTACTCGACATTGTTTATTACAATTTGGCGAATTTCATTAATGTTTTTTTAATTTTTCATTAAAAATTGTGTTTCTTTACGTGTTATATTATTCACTACACGGTCCACACGACATCACGACCGCATCTAACTACAGTTACGCAGACAGATATTTTAGTTGGTGTATTATATTGAGTATTCGGTAAGTACCTACTAATAGTACTGTTTTTATTAATATTGAAGTAACCAATAACTGCTAAACCTCATGTTAAAAGATGTTAGCTAAATAAATAGAAAAAAATGAAATATCATTCTTTTGCATTGTTAAGTACTAAAGTACCTACCCAGTACTCACTATATAGGTAGATGTGTTGGACTGGTAATAATATGTACCTACTTTATAAAATATAAATACAATACATAGAAACCTATATTATACTGTGGGCAAACAGTGAGGTGTTGTACAATATTTCATAATTAATAATAAATAACAGTCCCTGTAAAAACTGGTACTATGTACTATTTCATTACATGAATATTGAATTTCATATTTCATATTGAATAATGATTAAAATATTACTCATTAGAATCTAAAGTTGTCTTCATAGGTCCTAATTTTTAAATATAACTACCTAACCTTAATCGAGAAATACAAAAAACCAATGTACTTACATCATAACAATTATACCCTAGGCTAGGTATGCTTGTAGTAAATACACATTTTTAATAACATTGTGTAATATATTTCTATTGGTAAGTTATTTTAAATATAATAATTATGTACCTATAGTTAAGTTATTATCAAAAGGCTTTGTTAAATGTTATTTAATTTCTACATGTTAAATATTTATTTGTATTTTGTATAGATACCTACAATTCATTTTTTACATATCACTAATTCAAAAATCCTTCAATTTAAATTTGTATTACTTATATACATTTACATGCCCATCTTTATTCACTATTATAATATTATGTAGGTACATAAAACCTACATATTAGGTATACAATAATATAATATGGATATAAATAATGGATGCCCATAAGGTTAAGCTTAAATTAATTTAGATATTATTTTGTAAGTAAAAGTACAATACCTTTAGTATAAAATATTAAGACTGTTTACCACTGACTATTGACAAGAGGATACCAACCAATTTTATAATATTTTTATATTTTTAAATATTTCTATTTTATTTAGTTTATTTATTATGACAAAATTCATTAAAACTGATTATTTACCTACTAAGATTTTTTTTTAATTTTATTGATTTATATTGAAAAAAATAAATAGGTACATTCATAATTTTAATTATAAAATATTTTATTGTTATGTATTCAGTAAGTACTGTGATCTACCTATCACTTGATTGTTTAAAACCGGGATTAAAACTAAAAAAATGAGTACTGCATACTATCGACTGAAAAAACATCGCCAGAAACAATCTGTTAAAATCGAGGATAAAGTGGAAGTTGAATTAACATCAAGGCTAGATGGGTCAAACTTTGAGGTGTCTGTAGAGGTGCCTATTGAAGTCTCTATCAGTAGAAATGTGTTATGCCCCTCACAGCCTACAGTCACCAGAAATGATCAAAATGATCTCTTAGATTCATCTCTTGAGTACATTTCACAAAATTTCAGCTCACAGGATGCTGTGTTCTTAGATGAGGCTCTATCTTCACCATCATCTCAGCAATCATCAAACACTGACATTTCTACTGTTGTTCCCAGTTTACGTGAAAAGTTACGTGACTTTGTTGTAAGATTTAGAAGTAATATGACAGTTGATTTAATAGAAAATTTACTTGATATATTTCGTTCTGAAAATCATTTTGATCTGCCGAAATCAGCAGTTGGCTTATTACAAACCAAGTCCAATAATAAAATATTTATAATGAAAAGCTCTAAAAATACTAATGGGTCTTATGTGTATTTCGGTATCGAAGAAGGCTTAAAAGGGATAATGACTGATGAGTATACAGAAGATAGCATCAGCATACTATTTAACATTGATGGCTTACCCTTGTATAATAGTTCAAGCCAGCAATTTTGGCCAATCTTAGGACTTATTATGCACAACGATTATGAGTCAAACCCATTCATTGTGGCTGTGTTTAGTGGTGATTCTAAACCTCAAAATGTCAATGCGTTCTTAGAAGATTTTGTTCAAGAAACAATAACATTAAACCAGAATGGATTAATTTTTGGACAAAAAAATTTCAAAATAGAAATTGTTGGATTATCTTGCGATACACCGGCCAGATCTTTCATTAAGAAATGTAAAGGCCATGGAGGATTCTATGCATGCGAGAGGTGTGAAACGAGAGGCAAGACCATAAATAAAAAAAGGGTGTATCCCAGTATTAGTTCAAAATTACGTACCAAAATGAGTTTTATGAGACAACATCAACCTGAGCATCATTTGGACGGGAGAACCCGGTTGCTAGACATACCTAAATTTGACCCTGTTAGATCTGTTTTTTTGGACTCTATGCATTTACTATACCTTGGGATTATGAAGTGGATATTACAGAAATTACTTGGTACTACGTCGCGAGTCAACCGTAAATGCAAACTTTCTCGATGTAAAATAAAAAAACTAAATTCAACTCTAAAGATATTTGCAAATCATATACCTAAAGAATTTCAAAGAAAAACACTAGATTTAGAGACATTTAATTACTGGAAAGCCACACAGTTTAGGTTTTTTTTAAACTACTGTGGAGCTTTAGTGTTATATCATATTATGCCTAAACAAATGTACAGACACTTTTTACTTTTAGTGGTTGCAAGCCGAATACTAAATGACCCTGAACTGTGTGTTGAATATGTGTGCTATGCACGAGAATTGTTGAGGAAATTTGTAGAACTTCTTCCATCGTTTTATGGTCCAGATTCACAAATTATGAACTGTCACAATTTGATACATATAGCAGATGATGTTGAACACAAAAATATGGTTTTGTCAGCAGTGTCTGCATTTCCATTTGAAAATTTTCTGGGCAAAATTAAAAGACTAATTCGTGGAAGAAGTCGACCTCTTGCGCAGTTAGTCCGAAGAGTGTCTGAACAGAAATCATGTTCAGAGATGACTAAACAAAATGCTATACGCAAGAAAAAGTTTCTTATAGTGAACCCTCACATTAAACTTAAAACTAAAAGAGATTTAAAAAATGTAATTTTACGTGGAATTGAGTTGGGTTCATCAAAACCCAACAATATTGTAAAATTAAATTCTGGCAATGTTTTTAGCATAACAAGAATAAAGAAAAAAAATCAAAACATATTTTTTCATGGGTTTATGTACATGGGTGTCACTGATGTTTTCAAATATCCATGTAATTCCACAAAAATTGGAATTATGAAGTTGGGTCGATTGTGTAAAAAAACAAAAATTGTTTCAATAGATGATATTGCAAAAAAATGTGTTCTGTTTCAAAACCACAATCAGAATTATGCAGTTACATTACTGCATAATTCATAAAATAATTCTATCATGGATATAATTATTATTCTTTTTAATTTTTATATCTACCTAATTAAATATACTTAAATTATGTATAATATTCTACTTTGTATATTGTAGATTACCAAAAAAAAAAAAAAAAAAATCATAGGTGAAATATATTTTATACCATAATTTATTTTATTTTAAATATTATGATTTTATGTTATGTATTATAAATTATTTCATGGTTGGTTACAGATATGGATCATAAGAAAGACTCAACACATGTAGTAATAAAGTTTGATGAAAAAACAGTCAACGGTATGGATTGTATTGATCTTATACCATTATCATGGACATATATTGAAAACGGAATATTAAATTGTAAATATCCAGATAAAAAAGATTATGGCAAAATTAATAAGATGAGCCAAACTTTGTATGGTCACAAAGAATCGTGGAAAAGCTTTGGCATCAGTATAATTTCCGAAGCTAGTAAGATCCTACATAATTTATTTACTTAAAATCTATATTAATATACATAAGTTTTAACTATGTTTATAAGAGTAGTTGAATATAATCAACTATAAGCTTTCATTCAATACCATTTACCTATTATAAGAAAGAATAAATAAATAAAATAAAATGCAAAAACATATTACATTTTTAGCAAACTCTGGGTTATATTACTTAATTATATACCTATTTAATTTGTAATTTAAATAAGTTTAAATACTTAATTATAAATTACTTTAAATGGTACAAATGATAAAAATGGAATAGGTAGATGATATTTTTTATGTGATTCTTTCAAAGCTAAAAAAACCAGTTAACACAAAATATATAACTTAAGGCATTATATTTTTTCACTTCTATAAATGTTTCTTTTTTAGTTTTTCACCTAAACCTGTTTTACGTTTCAGGAAATTATGACCAAGGTGTCAGGCGAATGAAAAAAGCTTTCTCTAATACAGTTGTACTAAGTAGTGCGATTGAGGATAAAGACAGTTCTGAATATGAGTCCGATCCAAAAAATCTATCTGAGAAAGAACTAAAACATAGCTTACATAATATTCCTTCATTTAGTCCAGCAACTTTAAAATTATTTCAACCAGATGTAAACTTAGGTAGTTTCTTCAATTGAGTTATTAACTACTAAAATTACATTAAATAAAATTTTCAATATTTTTTCTTTATATTTGTTACAAATAAAGATTTGATACTGTCAGATACTACATCATCTGAATCATCCACCACGTCTACCAAGAAAAAAATGTCTACTGGAAAAAAATTGTTAAAAAGAAGGGGAAGCTCTTGTGATAAACGAGGTAAGTCTTATAATTGTAAGAAAAAGGGTAGTAGATGGTAGTTTCTTTAGTTAAACTATACATTTGTAATTATAATTTTACTACAAATATAGATCTATCTTTATCTGAATCGTCCACTGTTTCTACCAAGACAAAATGTCAATAGGAAAAAAAATTCTCAAAAGATACTATTCGGGTAAGAAACTAAATCTTATAAGTGTAAAAGAAGAAACTCTTAATATTTTTTAACCTAATTCTTATAAGATTCAAAGATTTAGTTTCTTACCAGACAGGTCCCATTAGGGAATTTTTTGTTGTTGAAATTGTTTTCTTTGTAGACACTGGAGATAATTTTGGTTTCAAAGAATTATTAGTGTAAATTATATACTATGTATATAATATAAATGGATTGTTTTTTTGTTCATTAAATTTTAAGTGTATTCTGTTAGTCATAAAAAATAATTAAATTAATTTTTCTTCCCTAACCTTTTATTTGATTCATACCATTAGGAAGCATGACCTATTAAGTACACTTTACTTTTTTTTTATTCCTGAAATACTTAATGTTTAAAAGTTAATACCAGAGTACTATAATTATTTAATATCTATTAATATTAAAATATGTTCTGTTACAGTTAATGATGAACATAGTAAAAATTACTGTCACACGTGTGGTCGCTCAGGTTCAAATAAATATACTATATTAAAATCTAATTACATTCATTGTCTATAAAGAAAACTATGAATGTATACTATTTATTTCAGATAATGTTTCACAAGTTTCAAAATCAGATTTGGAGTCACTCAAAAGGAGTATTGAGTATCGCATCCGTGAAGAATCAAAAATAACAAGATCTTTATTATCAATTAATAATAGTTCTACTATAGAAATTGATTCAATTTTAAAAGATGAAAAAATCATTGGCTTGCCTAAAACAAAATTAGAGCATTTTCAAGAATTTGATAAAGAATTAGGAATTGATAATGAGCTTGTAAAAAAAATGGTAAATATTAATTCTTAGTTCTTATAAGTTGACCTTTAGTCTTTAAATTTCACTCAATATTAATTTTCAGAAATGTTTTATAATCATTAATATGAAAGGAATGGCTAAAATTAATGATGACATTATGGCAGTGATTCCTAAAATCATTTCCAAAGATGTCCAACTACAGTTTAGTGCTTTTGGGAGAGAGACAAGCGGCAAGAAAAAACTTAACTTTTCCTCAACTAATGCATTCAAATACTTACAAGGTTATTATATCATTACTTATAATCGAAACGCAGGTTTTAAGGGTTTAAAAAGTATATATCATGATACTATTATGTAATTTTTATTTCAAATAAATTAATGAATTTAACAACTGTCAGTAGTTGCAGTAAGTGGTAACAGTATAATGATTATAACATAAAATTCCTTTGATAGTTAATATTAATTCAAATTTAGTAACTATAAAAATAGTGTATAAATTATACAACAATTGATATGCAAACACATGAACTAACTCATCCTTCCTTAAAATATGTATACTTAATAAGTTTTCATTTAATGAATATTTAATTTAAAATTTCAGAAGTTCTTGCTACAAAACACCCAAATGTCAGTTCCAAAGAATTTGCAAGTGTCATTAGCAGGTGGTTTTCCGGAGCAAAGGACCGAGAAGGGGGCAAAAAACTTAGATTATCGAAATAAAAATGTATTTTGTTATTATTTTATCTAATAAAACTACCTTTTAATTAAATTACATTTATTATTTTTCTAATTTTGCAGTGATTCTTAAAATTAATAAACAAAAAAAATATTATTCTTATTGCTCGTTATATTTTTTTATATTGCATTTTTATGTACATTTTAATTAGGTATCAAGTATTAATTTTAGTAAAATACTGTTTAATAGTTATTTTTTTATGCAAAGAAGAGTTATAGAAGTTAGTGGTTCTGCCCAGAAACTATAGAAAGTAATAAACAAATAGCGCTTTTTTTCAGTCTACTCTTTACAGAATTTGAATACCATTATCATACAGGATTATGTGTGCTAAAACCACAATACTGAATATCAATAATATGTCAGTACTGGTGCCAGTACCGCAACAGTATTACTATCAATACTTGGCCAGTCCTGAAATATTATAGTTTTGGCAAAGTATTATAAATCCAGATATACGACAGTACTGGTGCCAGGACTGGCTTTCAGTAGCTTGCCAGTATAACTGTCAATACTTGACCAGTGCTGGTAAAGCGTTATCATCCCAGATATATGACAGTACTGGTGACAGCATTGGCTGCCAGTAGCGTGCCAGTATAATGGTCAGTACTTGACCAGTACTGAATTACCAGTACTTGCCCAGTGCTGGATTGCCAGTACTGAATTACCAGTACTTGCCCAGTGCTGGTAAAGCGTTATCATCCCAGATATATGACAGTACTGGTGACAGCATTGGCTGCCAGTACTCCGACAGTATAGCCAGTACTGGCGCAGTGTCATGCCTGTTGTGAATTTCCGATTGGGATATAATCACATGGTCAAATTCTTGTAATAGAATACGCCANTGTTATAGAAGAAAACTTTAAGGCCTTGCCTCAATTCACCGAGAGTTAATTTTTGAAATTAATGAAGTGATTGATGAATTAGTTAAGGTAAAAAATAAAACTTGATTTTATTTTATAATTTTATTATGTACATATGGATCATTTAATAAACTTTTCACCACTTAAACATAAGTAGAAAAAACGCCACTGCCCTTAAATAAATTTTGTACACATTATAATTGAATCGAAAAAGTATTATACTGCATTGCAATGTAAGAACTAAGAAGTTTATATTTGTCCAAAAATATAGTTACTTGAATTTCCTCTGGAAGTCCTGTACTGCGTTCTCGTTGAAGTTGGTCCCGAATTTCATTAGTTAAGTCCATAGCTAATTCTGGACTAACTCGAAACATATTCAAAAATTCATTTCTTGGAAGATCATAAGGATTTTGCGAGTCCCTTAAAATTCTTCTCTCTATACGCCTTTCCAATATTTGAACCCTTTCTTCCAATGCCAACAAATCCCAACCAAGATAAAATAAAGCCATATTAATTACTATTACTTATTAGCTTATAGAAAAAAACTACGAGTAACGAGTTAAAAAAATTGTTTAAACAAAATTAAATACATGAAAACGATTCGATAACGCTAACGGCCCTTCCTAATCACCCGATACGATATCGAATATTTTCGCTATCATTTCGATACTTTAACGATAAAATTCGTTACAAAACTGTTACAGAATCACTATATTGATAACATTTCGATAGTAGTCGTTTCGTTAGCTTAACGAACCGAAATTTGTCGATAACAGGTCTTATCGAGTTACAGAATCGATCTGCAGGCGGCGGATTTCTATGACGAAGGAATTTCGAAGCTTGTCCACCTCTACGATAAGTGCCTTAATTTGTTTGGTGACTATGTGGAAAAGTAACATTTTAGTCACTCTTTCAGATGTATATAATAAAATATTTTTCCTGTACCTAGTTTTTGTTTTATTACAAAACGTTCCCTAGTTTCTGAATAGCCCTCGTATATGTAACCATTCTTCCGTTGTTGGTACAACCATTTCCTTTGGTTGCAAGATTATCCATAGCACTTGGCATGTATCACGTACAATTTTTGAAATGGTTAACACGTCCATTAAAAAATCAAAGTGGAGAGCAGAAAAGTTAATAGTACAAACTTAATGCTTAAACGAATGTATTATAGACACATTTTCCCTATACGGAGTGAAAGGCATGTAGCTATACCAGCGTGACGGGGATTGTGTTGTATTTTTATTTTTATGACGCAGAAAGTTATTATTTTCTAAAGTATCTTCATCATATTCTTGATTTTTAATATAATTGTTTTTATGAGATTGGAGAATCAAATTATGTGTAACACTATTAAAAAATTCTGCTAAGAGCTTTGCACTAAACCCAAAGGTTTGATACAAAAATGTAATATTAATACCCATGTCCACTAGTGGCGGTGGCGGTGACGGTGTTTGAACTGTCTATTTTATACTACTCGTGATAGTGCATTTGCACTTCCATTCTCTACTCCTGGCTTATATATAATCACATGGTCAAATTCTTGTAATAGAATACGCCAACGCGCGAACCTAGAGTTCATATCTAATGCGTTGAATAACCAAACTTATTATCTGTGATTATTTTAAACTTTTCACCCCAAAAATAAGGTCTAAAATGTTAGTTACCAAAAATTATACCTAAAAACTCTTCTTCAATTGTAGAATAATTAGCTGGAGTTTAGCTTTTAGTTTAGAAGTAGTTAAAGTGAGTATGCGTGTGTTTTATTCCATTTAAAAAAAATCGTTGTTTCTTTATTGTATGGAAATGGCTTTGCAAAATATTTTTTTGTTATTAAAACGCTCAATTTTTAACTTAAAAGAAGCCCTTAAATTACTTAAAACACCAAATTAGGAAATAGGAAATGTTCAACGGTCATAGGTCGGCTGAGTTGTCGTTCCAGTGTTTGATGTTCAAAAATATTTAAGTTGAATATCAGCATTATGGTTTGTGCGACAGTACTATAACGCACATATTCTACAGCAGTTCTATGTTTGTACAACGTCGTTTCCCTTAGGACTATTACATTATACAATTCAAAAATGTTCAGATGCGAGCAGTGTTCATCGCAGTGGTTTTTACCACGAAACGTAATTTTACCGCTCGCCAAAAAAAAAGGAGCGCGCATTTCGTTATAATATTCAAACATAAAATATAAAATGTTAATTATAGGATTATGTGATATTTTAATTTAAACATAAATATGTTAATAACACATTATTCTGTAACATCTAACGTATAACACTATAAAATGTTAAGTGGTCACTGATTATTACAATCAGTACCCTGTGATCGAAGACAAACACATACTGAAAAGATAAATATGAATATCAGTCCAACTCCAAAGATGAACGCAGTGCTCACGCAGACCAAAGGCACGAGTCTCGAGAACGGGAGATCTATGATGTTGTATTTTCCCTTAGTTCTGGCAAGATACTCATTTCCATTCGTTACCATGTCTATATTATAATTTTTTTATTATAAAATGTGTAATAATGATTATAACACAAAAAATGTGATTGCCCTAAAGGAGTGGATACGTACTTTCACGGATAGACACGGTAGATTTATTGTTTTCCGATCGCATTTCGTTCGTCGACTTGTTATGTAACGTAAGGTTCTGTTGTCGATGTTTATCGCAGAACGTCAATAAAGGTAATAGCCATTGCACATAGCATAAGGACACTAACCATGATGAGTGTGCCATCTTTCCAATCTGATTTTGAGGTTGAACTGCTGGAACACGGCGGTGTTTCGCCTTTGCGTCGTCGGTGAGATCAGAGGATACTCGTCGATACTCCACGAAATACACTAATGCGTTGTTCCGCTGTAGATGTGTATCTGATGTAGAAATACCCACCTATTATTGTTGTATTAAATGTCATTTTTTTTTTGGTCTATTGAGGTTAGGCGAACCATAGAGTCCCACTCGAGAGCATAAGATTTGTGTGATTACATACACATACATTTAACATTTATATTGAAATATAAAGAATTGTTTGCCGTATCGCCGCCGTCGCGGGAGGGTCCGTACGGCCACACCCATCGTATGGGAGTTTACCAATTGCGCTTAAAATGACCTTTTAATATACCAATTGCGCTCTGTTTTTTTTTGGGTCGATATACCAATTGCGCTCTGTATTTTTTGGGTCGATATGCCAATTGCGCTATGTCTTTTTTTGGGTTGATAGACCAATTGCGCTCAGTTGTTTTCAGGGTTTATAATATTTTTACAATAAACGTTAATATTAATAATAATTGTACAATATAAATCTATACCAAATTATACACATAGATACAAGTCAATAATACATAATTAATATACATAAAAATATAAAAATATAATTACAATTTATGTTTCCATTTAATGTTTTTTATATTTTACTGTAATAATAAGAAACTGGTTTTAAAAATTCTTTGCTAGTAATTTTTCCGGATTTGTATTTCTCAATAATAGATTCTATGGCCACTTTTTTCACTAAATACGCTCGGTTTGGTGTATATTTATCTTCTTCAGTACTGTTTATTGCAGTATAGGTAAGTGTTGGTTTGTGTTTCTATAATTGCTTTTAGAAAGACAAAAATATTTGGATGTGAGGAATAAAAATTTGATGAAAACCTTCACATGCATTGGTTAGGTTAGGTTACGTACGTTCAAAGCTTATTGTATTCGATGCCCACAGTATGGGAGGGAATGTAGAGGTTGATGATATATCATTTTCAACGATATAGTCAGTGAATTTAGTAACATTTGAATTCGTTGGCTAAATTGTCATTAATTCATTTATAAAAACATCCTCCACTTCATAGTGTGGAAAAAGTGACAAGCCAAAAATTAAATGTAGCCATTTTCCTATTTCAGAATCTATGTTTTTATACTCAGCTTATAGTCCATATCTTTGGATATTCCTCCACTAAGCTTGTGTGAAATGAAACCTACAACCTACCAGAGTTATTGAAGGCCAAACTTTTTAAACAACAAAATGAATAGCTTGTTCAAAATCGGCAACGACTGTTTTTGGACTAAAATAAAGGTTAAAAGTTGCACATTTACTGTGTATATTCATATGTAACTTTTTCCGCCGTGTAGTAACTTACATATGCCCATGCAAAAATAAGGAACCTACAATATAAGTAGCGCAATTGGTATACTGACCTAAAATTTAAGCGGCGCAATTGGTATACTGACCTAAAATACAAATATTGTTTTAGGCGCAACTGGTACATGCCCCCATCGTATACGCAACGGGAGGTGCACATTATTACATAGTATAAGGAATAAGAAGTATGCACAATGATAAATCTGGGTATATTTATTAAGGGGCGATGTATAATTTTTATATACAACCGACAATAAACTCAATGTGACGTCACACGTATACATTTAGTCGTATTCACAAAACCACAAGGCGATGCACATGCGTGAAATAGAACGAAAATACGGTTTGAATTGAGCATACTTCTTATTTCTCATACTATACTTATGTATTAGCATGTGGGAGCTCACTAATACCTCACTAGTCACAATGTATTTACCAATTAAAGCTCTTTTTAACTTAATTTTTTTAAAAGAACATTCTTGACGATTAAATAGGTTGGTATGTTTGAAGTGAATGAAATAATATTGTATAAAATAACTGTAAGACTTTGCTTGAATTAGCCCGTTGTAGATTTGAATACCAATATACCGACTTTAGGTATACTACAAAGTACTTTGCTACACTTTTACATACTTTCTAATACTTACCTAATTACCGTATACTTTTATAGATATACCTATTATAACCTTGGATAAAGTTGTGTAAAATATACAATACTATAATTCAACGTAAATATACATCTGTGGATACAACACCACTTTTCGTGTCACGGACTTTAAATTCTGCATCACCACTTACGAGACCCACGACTCACAAGCCACTGGAAGACCCTATTGTCAATATTATATAAGCTATGACATGTTTTTCAGCCTTTGGATTTAATTCATTAAAGAGTACCACAATGAACACTCACATGATTGTTGTTGCGATGACATGATAGTTGAAAAATAAAACGTGCCAACCATAATGACAATTATATATATTATTCCGCAAAAAACGGCGAAGTTACACGGAACTAGTGGACACAGCTGCATCTTAGCCATGCTTAACAAATATTAATAGTTAAATTTAGTTTATACACAAAAACAATACTTATAATATGAAAAAAACATAAAATAATCCATTTGTCGCGTAACCATAGAAAACTAAATAAATATAAAAGGTTTATTAATGAGAATAACTATGACATGTTTCAAGTTAAAAATTAAATGTATAGGTTTATACAAAATCTTTACATAGGAAATTATATTTAATGTTTGTTAAAACTTTTTCTAAGTAAATACATAATTTGGAAAGATATGGTTCTGCATTAAAATAGTACACAATTAGTAGGATAAGAAGGAGAGTTCAAAACCCTGATCCACTGATCCCACTGAACCGCCGCCGCCGCCGAAGAGAGTTCTGAAACCCTGATCCACTGATCCTACTGATCCGCCGCCGCCGCCGAGGAGAGTTCAAAACCCTGATCCACTGATCCCACTGATCCCGCATCCTCCGCATCCTCCGCATTCACCGCCACCGCCCGCCGCCGCAGATCGCTTACGTGCGCGACATACATGTTATCAGTTATCATTTGTTATCATATACTTTTATCACACAAGGTATCAATCATATATTTAATCAACATATATATATATAACGTTATCAACATGTATTTTTTTTACTATTCTAATCATATATATTATTGTAATCAGTTATCATTTTGTTATCATATATTTTTGCCGCTGGCGTACGTGCGCTACAAACATTATCAGTTATCACAAATGTTATCTTTTGCCGCCGTTATCACATCGCAGTTCTCCCCCGGTTATCAAATAAATTGTTATAATTTTTCGCGCGCGCGCATATGACAACATGCATAACGACCTCTTTATTATTTTAACAACGTATAGTTCCCTCTTAAATATACAAAAATATAACCCAACCTTGATACGATCTGCTTTACCGTTCACCAGGATGTCGCACACTAATGATATTAAAATGGCCATTAGTGAATAACACACATTAATAACTTTTGTATATAAAATGTCGTGTTCGCTCGTGGCGCAGACTCATAATGGCCACAATGGATATTTATATTGAAAGACACTTTCGACATTAGGTATCCTTATTCAATTAAATATACTGCACACTGCAAAACCATTTATATTGATAGACGTATTCACTATAAGAGACATTAAGTAGGCATATTTACAATAATAGGTATCTTATCCGCATTCAATTAAATATTCACACACAACCTGGTCATTAGTGATTGAAAGACATTTCCTGCCAAATGGCAGTAATAATCACAAATAAATGTCTTCTTAATGTACCCTACCGGTCGCCAGGATGTCGCGGACTCATAATGTATATCCCTATTCAATTCATCGATAAACAATTAAGAACATACGTCGCCAGGATGCGAGTGTGCCCGGCCGGTCGACAGGATGTCGCGGACTCATAATGTATATCCCTATTCAATTCTTCGATAAACAATTAAGAACGTACCTCGCCCCGCCATTAGAATACTATCTTTTTTTTTTGTAAATTCTGAAGAGAGTCAACAGTTCTTCAGTCCGTTTTAAACCGTTGTACACGTATTTTTCGCTCTCTAAGTCTTTAAAATATTATTTCACTGTTTATTTTTTTTGTTCAAAACTGTGTGTTTTACATAATTTAAAAATGTTTGACATAGTAATGTTATTCGTATATTATTTCGTAAACCCACTTCGGAGTCGTGCTGCAGATGAAGACAACCGCGTTTTGTCCCGTGATGACTTGATGAGGATAAACGGAGAAGGTTTTCAGGATGAGTAAGACAAAATAATATTTATATTTATCATTTTCTACATATTACAATTTTTGCAGTGAGATAAATAATACCACAATTGACAATAATACTACAGTTGATAACGCTATTGAAAATAATACTCAATTTAATCATATTTCATTACGTGAGCTTTATGCGGAATATTTGGTGGTGCGGGACCGTAACATAGGGTTGAGTGAATGGGCAACACATGCGGGATTAATTTCAAGAGAATTAAATTTAGAGTTTAGTGTATTGGGATTGGTAATGGTTGATAATTTTATGGATAATTCAATTCCCATGGATGAATTCATAGTAAGTATAAACACAGAAAAATATCTTAATTAAAATAAATAGATTTATTGAAAACTTATAACTTACAGATACAGATATCACATCAGGACTTATTGTTTATGATTGGAAGAATCACTCGTCTCCATACACAACACTACATATTTATGCAAATACTATACAGAGGTCGGAGAATAACACAAATGGAAAGAATGGGTGAAATCAACTCAGAAGATGCTAGAAATAGCCGATTTGATTGGAAGATGGTTACAGTTATGATTTTATCATTTTATGACTTGACGGGTGATACATTCGAATTTATGTTAGAGAGATTAGAAAATAAAATTATGTTATAAAACAAAATTATTATTTCTAAAATTATTTATTAATAATTTTTTTTTATCTCTCTATGTATTGCTATTAATATATGTTTTATACTTCTACTTAATATTTTTTTTTTTTTTATCTCTCTATGTATGTTTATGCGTTTATTAATATATGTTTTATATTAATACTTTAAGAACGTACGTCGTCAGGATGCGATTGTGCCCGGCCGGTCGCCAGGATGTCGCGGACTCATAATGTATATCCCTATTCAATTCATCGATAAACAATTAAAAACATACGTCGCCAGGATGCGATTGTGCCCGGCCGGTCGACAGGATGTCGCACACTAACGATATTAAAATGCCTATTATCATACATTAATAACTTTTGTATATAAAATATCATATTCGCTCTTGGCACCATGATTTAGCCGACTCTTAGTAGCCGCTATATATATTAGTGATGGGGATGAAATCCGGATTCTTCGAAAATCCGTCAAATCCGGATTTCGGATTTCGGATTTCAGGCTAAAAAATCCGGATTTTGGATTATGGTATTCGAATCTCGGATTATTGGATTTCAAAATCCGAAATTTGGGTTTATCATTGCAAATTTCTGTATTCTAATCATATAACTTTCATTATGCCACTTTTTAGTCGTTCTTTTAATTATCGGACAAGATGATGGTGGTCTAAATAAGATGTATCAATAATTGGTAAACATTTCAAGTCCCACGTACATACCATTATTTTTGGAGATACGACTAATAATACCTAACTAAAATGTATGATATGTATTTATGATATCTGACCTATATATTTAATATTACACAAAAATGTGTGCATGAAATTCTTAATTGGGTTCGACAGTTATATTATTATTAAAACACCTGATATCAACATTTTGTTTATATTAAATATTATTTTCCTATATCTATTTATAATATCGTACAAAAGAAACACTTATATTGATAAATAAAGTTTGTAGACTTTTATAGTATGCTTCTAAGTTTAAACTCTATCTTTTGTGCTAACATTGTGAACAATAAGTGTTGTAACAAGATACCTACGCGTTCACTGCACAGTACTCCATAAGCACTAATTCTACAAGGGACAAACAACAACTATTTCTAGTTCTTAATTTTTTAATCATGGCTCGCAGTAAAATATGGCAGTATTTTAAAGGTAATAAATCCAATGAATCGGCGAAGTGTTTAATTTGTGATTTTGAGTTGATGAACAATGGATCTACATCATCTTTATGGACACATTTTAATGCGTGGCACAAAAATGAAAATAATACACCACCAATGGACGGCAAAAGGTAATTAAAATTATAATTTTATTCATTTAAAATTTTAAAATTTCTCATTACATATAAGTACGACTTAACTATTGTGATGGGAGTAATGAAATTAAAATGATTATGAAAATAATCGAATGAGTAGTAGTATAAAATGGACAGTACTCCGACTTGCTCCCTGCTCCCTAACCGCCGCCGCCACATATCGCCTACGTGCGTGACGTATATTTACCCTCACCTCCACTGACCACCGACCAACAGCCGCCGCCGCCGCATGTCGCGTTCGTACTCCGACCTACTCCCTGCTCCCTAACCGCCGCCGCCACATATCGCCTACGTGCGTGACGTATACGTTATCATATCAAGTTATCATATCACGTTATCACCAACAAGTTATCATATCACGTTATCACTATGAGATACAATCATATTTGGATTTTTTTTAAATAAATAATGAAAAAAAGATTTGCGAGGCTCGAAACACATGAACCTCGGGTCAAAGAAGGGACGCTTTAACCCACTAGGCCACAGACCTGATACATCTTTACATGTGATTCTTAACGTATATAGCTGTATACCTAGTACAATATAATGTAATATAAAAAATATAATATGTACTTATATAATATATAATTATATTATTTCATCCGAACAGCCTATTTCATCACGTGACCAACACATGTTATCATATATCTGTAATCACTACCGTACACGCACCATATTATTGTATCACATTATTGTACACACACCATAATATTATTATTGGGTCTATTATTTAGTTTAATAAATAATGGAAAAAGGCTTTGGAGAGATTCGAACTCTCGATCTCCGTCTTACATTCCGGCGCCTTAACCATCTAGGCCACAAAGCCATTATACCGAAACATATGATTCCTAACATAATATATAGCTGTACGAATATCTGCTACTTATAAAAATATTAATCAGGAATATATTATTATTATATACAATAACATGGGGAAACGTACGCATGCGCGTGAAACAAATTACATATCAATAAGTTACACACACCTGTCGATAGCTAGTCGATACATTTGTGTATCATGAATGTATGCTACACCGGCAACATGTACTTATTTGTAATACATTTAAGAATAATATACTTGTACAATCTTTATGAATATACATTCAACGACGTGTGTGTCTCGACAAACCCTAACTATTGCTAACAATAACATTCCTCAACAAGTATTGAGACTGCACATGTTTAGGATTATATTACTTAAATTTTGTCCCTCCATCACGTTATACGGCAGGTGGTGTTATTTAACTATAACAATAACATTCTTCTTCAAGGGTCGACACTGCTCATGTATAGAAAAACCTCCATATTATTGTACATTCCATATTATTGTACATACCAAGCTGATAGGTACATTTATGTATCACGAACGTAGCTTTTTCGTTAGTTTAGTTTGTTCTCAGTTTTATATCAGTTACGTCTTCGTGTATAGCCAATATTCTTAAGCTGTTATTACGAACGCATTTATTTTTGTAATTTCACTTACGAGAAACATTTTCACTAACTCTAAAATGTAAGTATTTCATTTTTATTTTTAATATTTAATTTAAGTATTTTACATAACCCGATTTTTAGATGACTAATAATTCATCACCAAATACACCGAGGTTTGGAGGGGCAGAATACCACAGAATTCTTGCAGGAATTCTTCAGGAAGATTCTAGCCCAGATTTTTTCGACCCAGTGAGACCTTTGAGACACAATCCTATTGTAAGTATATTTATATATTTTTTTTATATTATATATAAATTAATAATAATAAAATTGGTATAATCTGATTATAGAATCTTATTAGTCCCATACTAAGACAGTTGTCACCGAGGTTGGATGTTGATGATGATGAATTTCGGGGGAGATATGAAGAACCGAATAATCAAGAATTTGAAATCTTTCAATGGAGTCCCCCTGCGATAAGGGAGTCGCCATTTAGATATGCCGCAGTGGTAAGTTAATATTTTTTTAAATAAAATAAAAATAAAATAAAATAATTACTTAATTTCAATATAAAGTAAAATAATTATTATTTGCCCCCATTATAAAATACAAATATTATTATTTAGACTCCATCTGAAGATAGTGGATATTCCACTCATCAGGAGTCGCAGATTGCTCATTGGCACCGGCCAATTTCACCGATTCGGCATATTTTTCACGGTTCGCCTGTTATGCCCTCACCTTCAACACCGACTTTACCACATCGACGATTATTGCCACTTCAGCTCTTTCCTACAACACCCACTCCCTCTAATTCACAGAGAGATCATCCACACGATCTAACCGGTATTTCCCCTGATATGTTCTCCTTGTCCACTCCAAGTCCAATCCTATTGACAGTAAGAGAAGATCTGTTCTCCGTTTCCCCCTCAGAGTCATCTTTGTCTCCTAGCTTACTTCAACTACCTCCTCACCGGACGAATTTTATACATAATATTTTAATTGTTGGTGAAATTTTAAACAATACGGCGTGTTCCGGAGATCATCAACCAGAAACTATGGAGTGGGGAGATGATGGAAATGATGTAGAAATGCAATCGCATATGGACGTTTACGAAGGGTGGGGTGATGATTATGATGATATGAATGAATTAATTCTAAATAATTTGTAAATATTTGTTTTAATATATTTTTTCTATCATACATTTTATTTCTTTATTAATATTTATATGATATATCGTTAGATGGTAAAAACGCTATATGTATAATAATTCCCGATGTGGCATATGTTCACATTTCTTGGTATGTTAGTAACTATTTTTGTAGGGCTTCTATGAGAGAAATCTGTATAGAAATATTTATTGGGTCAAATCCATTGTCTCCGTCGCGTATTGCCAGCGTCGGACATCGTCTTTTGTTAGCAGAGCGACCTGTACCGACCCGTTCGCGAGTAGGCTGTTGTTGACAACACGCATGGGTCAATTCCTGCAAATATCGTCCAATAACAGCGGTACCCAAAATAACCGAAAAATATCTTGTGATGTATACAAATATCATAGTCAATACCTGACTAATATTTCATGAACCTCCTACTTAAAATGCTTCCCTCTCCACAATGCTGAGATTTCTGGACACTTGGTCCGTTATCTGCTGAGATAGAGTCAGTCTGTTCCAGACACCCATACGTTTTCAGCGCCTTTGCTCTTTCTCTCCGTGTTTTCACAGTCAACAGTATACAGTACAACAGTTTACAATTTTTCTCCGTGTTTCTCAGTGTTTAATTTTACAAGTGTTTAAACACTTTATTATTTTCAATCGTTTTCATTTTAAAACATTTTAATCATGTTTAAATGCGATCAGTGCTCGTTGGAATTCACACGTAAAGACAATTTGCTTGCACATAAAAAAAAACACTTAGGGATATGTTTTCAATGCACTCTGTGTACTAAAACATTCTCTTCTAAATATAACCTCAATAGACACACGAAGAACATTCATGGTATGTATTTTTACAATATTATATATTTTCATTATTTTATATCTTATATTTTTTCCTAGGTATCGTTAACGCACCCGCACATCGACAACCCCCTACACCGAACGCTCGTCAGAGCGTTCTTCAATTCACTCCTGCTCCACAGGTCCAGATTGGTCCGCAAATATTTGTCCCCGATCTCCCGGCCGGTGGATCGAACACCATGTCTGAAGACGAAATATGCATGATGGCTATGGATACATTCGAAAATCAAGACTTGGTAGCCGATAATGCAGGTTAGTTTATTTTAGTTTATATTATAGTTTTTTAATAAGACGTCAAGGTTATTTTATTTTAAACTTATCAAGTGGTCTGTGAAGCGATCAATGATATAATAGTTGGAGTATTCCGGCGTTATACCAATCAATTCACTTGTCGCATCCTATGGTGTAATAGTTGGATTATTCCGGCATTGCACCGGTTGTCAGACCGTTTGGTACATTTAATTTTTTTTTTTTTCAACACGTGATTTTTTTAAATTTTTTTATAAGACGTTAAATTTATTTTAAATGATAGATTTTATTTATTGCTTGCTAGATTTATTATAGATTCGGCAACACATTTTTCAGATTTTAATTAGGTTTTATTTTTAAGATTCTCATACAACTGTGGGTCATAACGGCAAACGTGTTTCCACTGCCAACACCGCGTCGGCTGCTAGGACAAAAAAGGTGCGTTTAAACTTAGTGCAGTCCCCCGGGTTCAATGAAATATCGTCGTCGGGCAATAGAAAAATTGTATGGTATTACGTAAAAAATAATAATAATATTCAGAATTATACCGAGTTTCTCCGATTGCTCATGCCTGAGATGAAAAATTTATTAAATACACGCGTTCAAGAAGGTCCGATTAAATTTAATCTCAAGCTCGAGGCCACCTACAGCCTACCAAGCGTGCTTAATTCACTGGAGAATAGAGCATTTAAAACATCGGCGCTCGAAATATTTAAAGAGAGTAATATTACAGAGATATTGGAGAGAGTGTATATTAAGTTGTTAGTTGAGGAGGAGGAATATCGGGGTAGAGGTAGCGGTTTCAGGTTGCATACTATCGATGGGTTATTGCTGGCTGTATACAAATATACCCCGATGGGCGGCTCGTCATATATCGATCTACCTCAATCTATAAAAGCCAGAAAAGCGACAATAAACCCGCAAAACATCGACGAACAATGCTTTAAGTGGGCTATTCTAGCGAGGCACGTGACAGGTCTTCCCCTGAGGCGTGTCGGTGAAAACTATATTATGCATGAGGACGAATATAATTTTGAGGGTATAAAGTTCCCGACACCTATGGCGGACATAAAGATTTTCGAGGCAAATAACCGGGGTGTCTCTGTAAACGTGTATGGACTCACTCTCAAAACCAAAAACCTGAAGTATCCAAAATACGAAGTGTTTCCACTACGCGTTATTGATGAGGAGAAGCCTAACCATTTCGATCTGTTGTTGCTCAGTAACGCTAGCGGGGCACATTACGTATATATTTCAAATTTCTCTCGGCTTGTCTCCCCTCAGAAAAATAACCACGACGGTCTACAATTTTTTTGTAAACGTTGTTTTACAAGTTTTGATAAACGTAGTTTGAAATACAAACTGAATGGGGAGGCAGCGTTAAATAACCATAAACTTATTTGCGGGCCTCACAAACCCATCTTACCTGAGATGCCAAAAGCTGGCGAATGTGTTAAGTTTGAGACATGGAGAAGCACACAGAGACACCCTATTGTTATATACGCGGATTTCGAGGCCTTGCTAGTCAAGATTGACGAGAAGAAAGGCAAAAAAACAACAATTGTACAGAGACAAGAGGCCATGAGTTACGGGTTCATAGTTAAGGCGAGTGATAATGTCCCGCTCGAGCTGTTAGCCGATCACGGCATAACTATGGACCCTGTAATATACAGGGGCAGTGAGGACCGACCGGACGTAGCGAAACATTTTGTAGAGGCGATAGTTGAAGTTAGCAGGAAGATAGAGACGCTTTTAAAAACGAATACCCCGATAATTATGACTGAGGAACAAGAAAAAACACATCAAGAGTGTACAGTGTGTAATCTATGTAAGTGCAATATAGTAGGGGTCGATAAAGTTAGAGATCATGACCATCAATCGGGCAAATTTAGGCAAACCCTGTGCTTTAAGTGTAACTTAACGTTACAGCAGCCTAAATTTGTCCCGGTATTTTTCCATAATCTGTCAAACTATGATTCCCACTATATAATTTCTCAACTTGGTTTCGACTCAAACTCTATTACCGTTATACCGAACAGTGAAGAAAAATTCATATCTTTTTCAAAGTATGTGAGTAATAAATTTACTGTTAGGTTTATCGATACGTTTAGGTTAATGGCGACAAGCTTAGGGAAATTAGCTGCTAACATGATTACACCATTATTTGAAAACTTCCGTGAGACAGCTTAACATTTTGCCACGGAAGAAATGCCACTTGTAACTCGTAAGGGGGTATACCCTTACGAGTACACCGACAGTTGGAAGCGGTTGGAGGAAACTAGATTACCGAGGAAGAGGGAGTTTTATAGTACGTTGGCCGAGTCAGGTATAAAGGAGTCTGAATACACGCATGAGAAGGAGGTAATATAGTTACATAGTTATTCATGTATTTATATTTAAAAATTTTTGTATGTTATAGGTCTGGGACCACTTCGGTTGTAAAACGTTGGGTGAGTATAGTGATTTGTATTTGAAAATTGATGTGTTGCTGCTGACTGACGTATTCGAGAACTTTAGGGATTTGTGTATGACGACATATAATCTGGATGCAGCGCACTATCACACTGCCCCAGGCTTAAGTTTTGATGCCATGCTCAAATATACAGAGGAAAAGTTGGAGCTGTTAAGCGATTACGACATGTTGCTGATGTTTGAGAAAGGTTAGTACATCATAATCATTTTGTATTATATGTATTATATCATGTATGTTTTTCTTTTAAAGGTATTCGTGGTGGATTGGTGCAGGTGAGCATGAGGCATGCGAAAGCGAATAATCAGAAAGCACCGGGGTACAATAAGTCGAAGTCGAAATCGTGGCTTATTTATCAAGATTGTAAGTATTTTTTATTTTTTTATTTTTTTATTTATTTCTAATTTTTTTTAATTTTTTAATTTTTCAAAACTTTTTTAAACTTTTAAACTTTTTAAACTTTAAAGGTAACAACTTGTATGGCTGGGCAATGTCGCAGTGCATGCCTTACGGTAGATTCAAGTGGGTCGATCCAACTCTCAATGGACTTAATGATTTAACCGATACCTCGCCTATTGGAAGGATATACGAGGTTGATGTATCCTACCCCCATGAATTACATGACAAACATAACGACCTGCCTTTTCTACCACAGAATAGTATACCTAAAGGCTCCAAGGTACGGAAGCTCATGGCAACATTAGAGCCCAAGAAAAATTATATTGTTCACTATCGGAGCCTTCAACAAGCGATTAAAAACGGGTTGATTGTTGACAAAGTAAATATTTTATTTTACACTCATATTATAGATTTTATAATAATGCATTTTATAATTTTTTAATTTATTTTTTTAATTTTTATAGGTACATAGAGTAATAGAGTTTGACCAGTCAGATTGGCTTGCCAAATATATCAATTTGAACACAGAGTTGCGTAAAAAGGCTAAAAACGATTTCGAGAAAGACTTTTTCAAGTTGATGAATAACGCTGTATTTGGTAATTTATTTCTATTTTTTTTTTTTAATTTTTAAAATTTTATTTATTTAATTATCTATACAGGTAAGACGATGGAATCTAAAAGGAGGCAGATAAAGATGGAGTTGGTGTCATGTGAGAGGAGGCTGCAGAAGCTCATTAATAGGACGACCTTTAAACACTGTATAGAGTACACGGAAACATTAACAGGAGTAGCGCTGGAGAACAAGGAAATCAAATTTGACAAGCCTATATATATTGGTAAATATAATATCAATTTTTCTAATGTTTTATTTGCTAACACATTTATTATTTTATAGGATTTGCGGTTTTGGATATCAGCAAAACGCTAATGTATGAGTACCACTATGACGTCATGAAGAAACATTATGGTGATAATATTAAGTTAATGTACACTGATACGGGTAAATATATTAAAAATATTTTCATTTGTATACATATTAATTAATATCATTATTACAGATTCACTGATATATCAGATTATGACAGATGATTTTTATGATGATGTGAAGAATAACCCCATCTTGTTAAACCGCTTGGATACTGCAGACTTGCCGGTAGAGCATCCATGCCATACGACTGTGAGGAAGAAAGTCCCCGGATTTTTCTCAGATGAAACAAAGGGACATATAATGACTGAGTTTTGTGCACTACGTGCAAAGTCTTATGCATATAATATTTATGCAGGAGAAGAGGATGAGCAGAAAGCTAATGAGGATGAGAGTAAAATTGGAGGGGGGAATATTAAAGCGAAGGGGATCAAAGCGCATGTGGTTAAAAACCACATGTCGCTTGCTGATCATGTCAAGTGTCTGCAAGATGATCCAGGCCTGATAAGATACAGTATGAATACATCTATAAGGTCATACAAACATAATCTAGTGACGCAGAATATGAATAAACTAACTTATAACAGCTACGATGACAAACGTGTGGTGTTACAGGACAAAATACATACACTAGCCCATGGACACTACAGTATAGAGTAAGTTAATACAATTTTATATTTTTGAATTATTTTACTTATAATATTTTTATTTTATAGGGGGGATGACAATATAGACTTGATGGAGATTGACTTTGAGGTGGATGATGGAGAACAAGAATGGTCAGATTTGAAAAAAGAGGTTATGAGAGGCCTCCTTCATCACATGGTTGATAATAAATAAAATTTAAAAATTGTTAATACTTTGTATATATTTTTGTTATATATTTTGAATAGCATGTAAATATTAATTATGTTAAATTGAAAATACTTTATAAAATATCATATATCTGTAATCACTACCGTACACGCACCATATTATTGTATCACATTATTGTACCCTTCATCACATGGTTAATAATAAATAAAATTTAAAAATTGTTAATACTTTGTATATATTTTTGTTATATATTTTTTGTTATATATTTTGAATAACTTGTAAATATTAATTATGTTAAATTGTAAATACTTTATAAAAATTTTTTTTATTTAAGCACCTTTGTATTGTATAAATTGTAAATATATTAGGATTGTATTTGTTAGATATGTAAGATAAATTACTGTTTTTTTTTTTTTTTCCTATATAAATGTTATAATCAATCATGTTTTTCTGTTTCAGATAGATGGACCCCTACTTATATTTAATAAAAACCTTGTAAATGTTAACGTATATAAATGTATGTATATACGTTATCATATAAATAAAAAACAAATGTTAAAATATAATATTATGTTTATTAACTAAAAATTGTATACAATAAAATGTTTAAGAATTATTTATAAACCATTTTCTTATAGCAAATACTTTATGGAATGTACATTGTTTAGGATTAAATTCCATATGAAAAATACAACAAGGTAGAGTTTCTTCATCACATATTTGGTCCAAGCGTGGGCATCCGAGGTCTTCAATGTTGATTAGTGTAACATGAGGTATAAATCCTATAAGCAGCTGTTTTTTCTGTTCACCTTTGACGTAAATGCATGTAAACTTTAATGAATTCAAAATTCTATTTAGTTCTACATACTCTACATCACCATATTCTATAGTTAGTTAATGATAGTTAAGTTCCAACCACTTGTTAGTTTTTCGACTCTTGTTGTCCTGCATAGTTTTTGAATTTTTAAAAATCCAATGTTGAGACGCCCATGTTTCCGTGTCGACTATAGACATTTCTTTAATAAAATATTTATTGTTTGCTCCAAGAACGCATTGCATGTCTAAGATGACTGAAGACATTATAGCTTATCTTTATAATACGTTTCAATAGTATTAAGACGAATGAGTAAAGCTGGTATTACGTTTTTCAAACCGTTAGTATTTTCTCTGATATTATGTAATGAAACTTCAATTTTACTCAAACGTTCCACTATATCTGTACTCGTTAATTGTAAAGTTTCTACTTGTTCTTCCTGTACATGAATAGATTTGTAATTTTGATCAAGTAAATGCTCGATTTTATCAAATTTATGCGTATATGTTTTGAAAGATTGCTCGATATTTGTAATAATGTTTTTAGTATCACCAGCTTGTGAACTACCAAACACGTTCATAGTTATAAAACGACTGACACTATTTTTTAACATCACACGTATTTATCCAACTATTATGTGTATTATCAAACCCGAGCCACTTGACGTATATTTGTTTCCCCTTCTTACGAATTATTTTTTCGATCAAATATTCGTTTGGAAATTTAGTTTTGAATATTTCTTCAGAGTAAAATTAACCGGCTATAGGTTTACCCATATAATCTTGTAACTGATATGTAACTGGCAATGTCTTATTTATTTTAATAACCTCGAATATTTCCGTAGACCAGTTTGGTAGATAACCTTTTGTAAACACGCCTTTTTGTGTACTGATACGAACGTTATCGCCGACTTTGAATTTAACTTTTACATTATTTATTTCGCGATGTTTTATTTCCACCGCCTCAGGGTTAGCATTTGCCTGCATTGGTGTCATTCCTATAGTTCTATGTCGTGAACTGTTGTATTCTTCAAGCAGCTTCGGTAAAATAGAAATCCACTCGTGAGAACCACGTGCCGTGAACTCCCTAAACATTTTTTCCTTTAATGTTCTATTAAACCTTTCTACAATACAAGCTTTTAAAATACTGAATGTCGAATATTTGTGTATGTTATACTCGGTCATTAATGCATCAAAAGTGGTGTTATAAAATTCTTTTCCGTTATCGAGTTGTAAAAGTTTTGGTGAGTCTTCAAGTAATATTTTAGACATTGTTCCAGCGACTTCTTTACCTGTTTTAGACTTTAATGGCAATGCCCAGGCTCGTTTTGTAAAACAGTCAATTACGGTCAAAATGTACTTGTAATTTTTATTTTTTTTTGAATATGGAATCATTTCAACCAAGTCAGCTTGCCATAAATCATTTTTTCCATACACGATAACTCTACGTCTAGTGAAATTTTTCCTTGCTGGTTTGTGAAGTTCGATTGCTATTTCGCGTTTAGACATTTGGAATTCGCTTTATTACTCCAGCCTCACGCAGCTCTTCGAAAATCGATATAATTTCGTTTGAAACACTTGTATTACCAGCTGCCTTTGACGCTATAAGTAGACGTAATCGATCGACTAGTTCATTCGGATCGTCCCAGTACACTAAGTTATTTTTCTGCAATTTCATAGACAGCTCGCCACCCGAGGGAAATAATTTACTAATAATTGATGAATATTTAGTACCACCCTTTTTTATTTTATTTCCAACTGTAGATAAATGTACCGATGTTTGAGTTAATATCGATTTATACTCATCTAAATCGTTTTCGGTATAAACGAGTGGATTTTTCAAAAATAATAACTGTATAAGACCCGAGGTTAAGGTATAAACATTACTGTCAATAAGTAAAGTGTTTTCTACGAATTTTACTTCTTTTTTACCCAAGATAATATTTCCGTTTGAACGTTTTTTTGGGCCATAGATTTTGTCTAAATCTGTAGATTGAAACCAATTTTCAATTTCTTGTTGATGTTCGAACGAGTTTTTCGACTTGACGTTAATATTTTTTTCGGTTGAAGTCAGTTGCGATTTTTTCGATATTTCAGTTAAAGGATCGATAATTGGTTTTAATGTCTGTGTCATTAGTTGCTGAACATTATCAGAACCGGTTTTTAATGCAATGTATTTACGTTTTATACTTTCCTTAGCTTTAACCAGCTCATCTAATATATTACCTGCCTCAGTCATGACTGCCTTTTAAATGATAATATTTATTTTTTACACCGTGTTATATAACCACATAAGTATCAAATCCAAATCTATAACGTCCGTTATCACGGTCACTGTCTTTACAAATAACAACAAAGGCAAACCTGTCACGGTTCCAACACGTCACACAAAAATGTTTAAACTGAATATAAGACATATCGCCCGAACAGTGTTCGTTGTATACGTGTTTTAAATTGGTTTCATCTTGTTTGAATAGTACTATTAAATTTGCATTATCACGTATCAACTGTTTAGGTACTTTTGAATAACTCTGAGCCAGATAAAATATATCTATTTTATTGTGACGACCTCGAGAAAAATATTCCCTTATTACGTGCTGCTGTTCTCCGATAACATCATCCATGATAAAAATAGAATTTGGTAAAACTTTTTCGGGTGGAATAACTTTATCATTCTCAAAAAAAGTAAAAATGTTAACACCATCAATTCCATCAATAATACGTTTTAATAACTTATATTTTGGTTGTTCTAGCGTCTTAGAGTATATATAAACATTTTCAAAAAGTAATCCGTTTTCGTCGACGAGTAAAAAATATATCAGATTTGTTTTTCCACTCCCTGAACTTCCGAGCACTAAAGATCTCAGTGTATTGGGGAAAAGCTCTCCATGCCGCAACTGTAGAGTATCAGGGGTATCAATGTTATAAATTCTAAGTTTTTTCTCTTGCTCGATAAAGTGCATTTTTAATTTTTCGCTATAAATACAGGTGTCAGAACATTGAAAGTGTCACACGATGTCTCACGTTCGTAAGCGAAACAACAATAAAGGTTCCGGTCTCGTCAACTCTGTTATAAATCATTTACCCGTGGAATTACATTTACCCGGTTACAGGTAAATCTATGCACAATATTATTATTAAATCTGATCTAAATTGTATATATGTTTATAGATTTGCCGGTCCTGGGACTAAATTAAAAGAAAGATTAGCCCGTGGTGAACGTGGTATTAACAGACTTGACGAGTTGGCCAGAGCTCACGATATTGCATACGACAAAAGTAATTCACTAACCGATAGACACAGAGCAGACGAAGTATTAGAAAATCAGGCTTGGGAGGTGTTTAAGTCTAAAAACACAGGTATCAAAGAAAAAGCTGCGTCTTGGTTGGTCACTACCGAGGCTAAGCGTAAGCTAGGGGCTGGTTGAGGTTTTAGAAAAATGGTTTTGGCAGCTAAAACAGCAATCAAGAATAAAGTGAATGAAAAGAATATAACTAAATTAGTTAGAACTTGTCTGACAGCTGCGAAAAAATCGAAAAAATCGAAAAATAAAAATAATAAAACTCCGAGAATTATACCCATACCGAAAAAAGGTGGTGTTTTACCTTTAATACCTATTTTTGCTGGTTTATCAGCGTTAGGCACACTCACCGGAGGTGTTGGTAATATAGTAAAAGTAGTAAAAGAATTAAAATCTGGTAAAAACACACCTATTAATTTAGGAAAAGGCTTATATCTTACCCCTCACAAGGGGAGTTCTTATAAAATTGTAAAAGGTAAAGGATTATACCTAGCACCATACAAGGGTGGATCAGTTAAGTCAAAAAACGATCCACCGAGCCAGATCATACACGAGCTTTATCCTACTGTTCCTGCGGGATATAAGATCGTTAAGGTACCTAGGCATCCAGTTTTTTATGGTCTCAATACGACTTCAATAACTAAAGTAAATAACGCGCTAAAAGATCAGAACGATTGTCTGATTAATCTGCGTGGTGAGCCTATCACAATTCGTTTACAAATGACGCGTGGATATGGCACTAAAATTTAATATAAAAAGAACTACAATCAAAAAACCTATCAGTTTACCGACTGCCGTTAAGAAGTCTAAATCTAAACCGAAAAAAATAAAGCTCCCGAAAAATAATTTAAATTTTCTTCGCTCTTTACAAT